GCTACACTCTTGTTGACTCCTTTAGGTTGCAGCTCTATTCTCCCAACAGGACATCTGGCCCTGTGCTTATCCTGGAGCATGCATTCAAATCGCACGTCTTCAACTTAATAATGTTGTTGATCTTCAACATAAATATCAAGCATTAGCTTTATTTTTCTCATTTATAATGGCAGATGTTGATAGAAATGACTCAGTCAATTGCTGGTTCTTTGGGCCCTTGCTCTTGCAAAGCTCATTCTGCCCCAAAAAGCAGCAGACAGGTTGTAGATATAAGAGGCTATCCACACAAACTGTCCCCTTGCTTGTTTGATTTCAACACAAAGAATCAGGAACCCTGGGGGTCTCAGCAGTTTAGCGCCACCTTGGGTCCAGTGTGTGATCCTGGAGTCTCTGGATGGAGTCCCACATTGGGCTCCCTGCATGGAGCCTGCTTCTCCCTCTGCCTGTGTCTCTGCCTCTCACCCTCTCTCTGTGTCTCTCATGAAGAAATAAATAAAATCTTGAAAACAAGAAAACACAAAGAATCAGTGTAAGAAAAACATTAGGAATTTTAGTTTCATGATGTGTTAGCTTTCTTGTTTGCAATCCTACATTATCTTTACATATACATGAGTCAGGACACAAACCTACTTTAATGAAAGATCTGGAGACATTCACTTTGGATAAGAGAAGAAAGAAAGGTGAAAAATGTTCTTCCAAGAACTTATATCTTGGGTCAAATCTGACAACTGAAGTCTTATATTCCTTTAAGGATTTCTGCTCAGAGTGACTTCTTAAGCAGAATTAGGAGGTACAGTTCCCCCACACTCCCTTTGGATCCTTTCTAAATATTTCTCAATCTAGATTTCAGAGACACCTATGAAGAGCACATACTCACAAGTTCAATTCTTCAGTCTTCTTATGTGCACTCACCTACTCATGTGGCATTGTTATAAACAGCGTAGTTATTTAAAAAAATCACTTCCAATGAAATATAATTTTAGCACCTGGGCACGACTATGATGCAATTCTCCTGAGCACTGAAGAAGGGATCACATATGTTCCCTGTGGTCAACACAATTAAATGTATCTGCTTTTTAATTTATTGCTTTAGTATAAAGATAGGATATATATATATATATATATATATATAAAAACCCTCCCAAACTCCTTTGCCTCTACTCACTGAATCGTAGCTATTTCTGTTCTTGCCCCACAAAATTTTACAGAAGAAATCTCATTCTTCAGTAGTCCTTGAAGTTAGTAACAAACAGGGCGAGAAATGCCATCATATGACATAAAGGCTTTAAATGGATTCTAAAATTAAAAATATCAATGGTGGAAAGAAGTCAGACCTGATTCCAGGACAACATTTTCAATATAGTCAGAGATTTATATCCACTCATTAAGTTGAAAAGAAGAAATAGAAATAGTTTTTCCAACAATGGCTGATCATGTTGCACTATCTACTTGAAGCCGTGGATTTTTCTCACTTACAATTGTCCTTTAACTTGAGAAACCACCCTAGTCATGGTCAATTTTAGTGAACTAACAATAGGCAACTCTGACTATCCAGAATCAGCCACTCAAACTTTAATCTGAATTGGATCATAGAAGCATCTTATTGTTATTGTATCAGAAACTATTATTTTAACAAAATGGAATTAAACTGGTTCCTGATTCCTGCAATGCCTCCAATACATGTATTTATTATTTTATTTTATTTTCAAGTTTAATTAATTAATTAATTAGTTTATTTATTTATTTATTTATGAGAGAGGGAGCAAGTACATTTCAAGTGGGGAAAGGAGAAGAGGGAGAGGGAGAGAGAATCTGGAGCATATTCTGCACAGAGCATGGAGCCCCAGTGGGGGCTTGATCTCATGGCCTGAATTGAAATGAAGTGTTGGCCACCTAATCCACTCATCAATCCTAGTACCCCATGTATTTACTATCTTATCTAGCATACTCTGTAGTATTAAAGTATAATTGATGTAGATCTTGTTTTAAACAGGAAAAGAGTTGTTGACTTGGAAAGAGTACTTGGGGTTTCTGAAGGAAGATTTCTTCATAAATGTATTGCTATTTTTGTCATTATTGCTATCACTACAAAATCAACCAAACCATAAAGTTAGGAACTCTGCAGTTATAACTCTTTCTCATTAGAAATAATCTTATTGAATAGATAATGAATTCACACTTCTCCTTCAGCCTTCCCAGTCTGAGACAGGAGAGGGCATACAGAATAATCAGAGCCATTTCTAGTACAGACTTGGATAATTACACTTCCTGTTACTCATGACCATTTTTAATGATTTCTTTAGGCCTTACTTCTCATATTTGTAAAGTGATAGCATAGGCTTACTTAATCTTGAAGCCCTAGGCCCTGAGTCCTTGCCTTAACTTTCGGCAATTATATGAGCTCACCAAAGAACTTCCCATATATACAGAGAACCAAAAGAAGATCTTCAGGTCTGGAAATGTGACAGAAGTCTTCATGAGAGAGTCAGGATCCTTCCTGCATAAGTCTGATTATTATTATTTTTCTTTAGATTTTTTTTTTATTTTTATTTATTGACAGAGAGAGGCAGAGACACAGGCGGAGGAAAAGGGAGAGAAGCAGGCTCCATGCAGGGATCCCGACGTGGGATTCGATCCCGGGTCTCCAGGATCACACCCCAGGCTGCAGGCGGTGCCAAACCGCTGCACCACCGGGGCTGCCCTGATTAAATAGATTATATATATATGACATATATGTACATACTTTATGGATTATGTCATGTATGCACATATATACAAATATGGCATATGTATATATATATATATACCATTTAGTTTATACATATATATATATATACTTACTATTTCCCAGTGTCCATAGTATTAATGTAAACTGAAGACAGTGCTCCAAATGTGTGGATCACATATTTCCATTTAATTATCTGATCGGAAAGAGAAGAAGAACAAAGATGATAGCAGAAATAAATGAAATGAAGATGAAAAAAATGTAGAAACGATCAATGAAACTAAGTTGTTTTCTTAAAAAGATAAAAGAATTTACTAACCTTTAGCTAGACTATGAAAAATAAGACAAAGACTCCAGTATGTAAAATCAGAGATGAGAGATGAAACATTACCACTGATACCATAGAAACACAAAAAATCACGAGACAAATTTTATACATCAACAAACTGGATAACCTAGAACAAATGGATAAATTCCCCCAAACATAAAACTTACAAAGACTGAATCATGAGGAAATGGAAAATGTGAACAGACCAATTATAGGTAAAGAAATTTAGTCAGTAATCCATTGCACACTGAAAAGCCTAGGATCAGATGTTTCACTGGTGAATTCTATTAAATATTTAGAGAAATTAATGGCAATCCTTCTTAAACTCTTTCAAAAAATTGAAGAGGAAGGAATACTTCCAAACTCATTTTGCAAGGCCAGCATAACCTCAGTACAAAAGCCAGATAAGTACACGACAAGAAAAGAAAACTATAGACCAATATTCCTGATGAACATAGATGCAAAAATTCTTGACAAATATTAGCACAGTAAACACACAAAGTAACAACAGTATATTTAAAAGATTATATATTGTGATTCGGTGGGATTTATCCCTGAGATGCAAGGATAAGTCAACATATGCAGATCAATACATGTGATTCACCACATTAATAGAATAAAAAACAAAATCATATGATTAACTCAATAGATGCAGAAAAAGCATTTGACAAAATACATCATCCTCTCATGACAAAAATTCAACAAACTGAGTATAAAAGAAGCATACCTCTGGCAACCCGGTGGTTCAGCGATTTAGCGCTGCCTTCAGTCCAGGTTGTGATCCTGTAGTCCCAGGATCGAGTCCCACATCAGGTTCCCTGCATAGAGCCTGCTTCTCCCTCTGCCTGTGTCTCTGCCTCTCTCTTTCTCTCTGTCTCTCATGAATAAAAAAATAAAATCTTAATAAAAAGCATACCTCAACATAAGAAGGGCCATATATGACAAACTCATGGCCAATATCATATTCAATGGTGAAAGGTTGAGATTTTCTTCTAAGATCAGAAATAAGACAAGTTTGCCCAGTCTCCCCACTTTTAGTCTACGTAATAGGAACTCAGAAACGTAGCAATCAGGCAGCAAAAAGGAAAAAGGGCATTTCAATAAAAAAGACAAAGTAAAATTATCTTTGTTTGTAGATATGATCTCATATCGAGAAAATCCTGACGATTCCACCAAAAAAAAAAAAAAAACCAAAAAACCAAACAACCAACCAAACAAACAAACAAAAAACCTGCTAGAGCTAACCAACAGATTCAGTAAAGTTGCAGGGTATAAATCAGCATACAGAAAACAGTTTCATTTCTATACACTAAAAGGAAAACATCTGAAAAAGGAAGAAGGAATTCAAACTGCTTATAATAGCATAAAAACAATAAAAAACTTAAAAATAAATTTAACTGGACAGCTTTCAAAATCTTCAGTCCCTTGTTCATGGCATCGCCATCCCCAATATGGAAACAACCTAAGGATCTGTCTACAGATGAGTGAATAAAGAAGATGTGATATATATTGGATATATATTTACTAAAATAATATAATAAATGATTAATTAAATATTAATAATTAATAAAATAATATTCAGCCGTGAAAAAGAAGAAAATCCTGCACTTTAACAATTTGATAAAGCTTGAAAACATGATGTTAAATGAAATAAGTCAGACAGAGAAAGATAAATATTGCATAATACCTCCTATATGTGGAATCCAATGGAGCCAAACTCAGAATCAAAGTAGAGTGGTTGTTCCCAGGAGCTGGGGGATGAGAGAAGTTGGGAGATATTTGCCAAAGGGCACAAACTGCCAGTTATAAGATTAACAATTTCTGGGGATTAATGTAGAACATGGTGATTATAGTTAATGGTACTGTATCATATATGTGAAAGTTGCTAAGGGAATACACCTTACATGTTCTCACTCTAAGAAAAATAAATGGTAATTATTTGACAGGATGAAGGAGTTAGCTAATGTTGTGGCAGTAATTCTTTTGAAAGAGGTAAATTATAAATCAACATGTGCACCTCAAATTGACACAAATGTTATGAGTCTATTCTACTTCAATAAAGCTGGCGGGAAGGAGAAAGAAACTCTCATTGAGAAAGTTTGTGATGGATGAAAAGCAGTTACTCACAAACACTGGAACGTCTCCAGAACAACAGAAGAAACAAAGAGTATCTACCTTGTGGTGGCTGAACGCCTACTTTGTGAAAGAAGGGAGTATGATAGAGGATCTTAAGCTCACTGATGATCCTGTTGAAAGCAAGTAGAACTGATAAACGAGATAGTTCTAATGTAATGTTAAAGATCAGAGAAAACCCCTGAAACCTTTGAATCTTCATGCTAGGGAAGCAACAGCCTCTGAAAGGTGATAGCAGCGAAACTGAAGACAGATGAGCCGTCAAGAGCATATGCCTTGGAGTCGGCCTGCAAGGATCCAGCTGCTTACTCTCTCTTGAACTCAATTTAGTCATTTAGAAAGCCGGGCTCACAATAGCACCAGTTACTTAGGGTTTGTGTGCTGTTACCTATCTTATAATTGAATTATAACTAACATATAGTGTTATGTTATTTTCCCTAATAGTTTTTCAACTCCTGGAACAGTTAGAACATCAAACGGAATATGTGTTTGTTAAAAAGAACAAACGTACTCCCTATGGATAATTCCAGATTGTAGTCAGGTAATAGCTGTTTTGACCATTCATTTGAAAATGTGAACAGACTATCTCTAGGGACATGGGGTCCATTTATACCCATCTGCTTCCTGACGTTATACATCACAGTCGTCTAGTTCTCTCCATGCAAGCACTTACAAAGATACGATCCACTTTCTTGAGAGCAGAGAAACAAATATATCTTTGAGCTTTTGTTGTTGAGTTGAGACTCGAGCAGTGATTGCCAGAAAAAAAAGACAGATTGAATCACTGGATGTATGAAGAGACAGACGGAACCGCGCCCAAAGGTGAAGGGTAACTGTTGTTGTTGTTTTTTTTTTTTTATATAAATACTCTGAAAAATTAACAGACATCCGGAGAGTCAAAATTTATCATAATCTCTAGTTGCTCGAGAAAAGACGAAATCTATTTTAGATCACTTTCCTTGGTCTACCCTCAATGTTTTACTAGGTAGACACACAACAAGGTTCCTAAGTGTGGAGATGTACTTGGATAACAGGTGTGAACAACAGTAAATGTGACTTTTTAATGTAAAGAATTCTGTATTACATACCCATATCATTTTTGCTCAGATTGGTCCTCTATGAGAAAATAATTCGAATGAAAGCGCTCTACCAAATGGACACAAGTGCTGACTCATTGGAGAAATACAGCAAATTATCCATGCCTGCTTTTCCTGCTTATGACACCAATTCCTCAACCTTTCTACTAACAGGCTTCCCTGGCCTGGAGCAGGAATATCCCTGGCTGTCCATCCCTTTCTCCTGTATGTATGCTATGGTACTGTCTGGGAACTGCCTGGTGCTGCATGTGATCCGGACTGAGCCGAGCCTGCACCAGCCCATGTTCTACTTCCTGGCCATGCTGGCCCTCACCGACCTGTGCATGGGGCTGTCCACAGTGCACACGGTGCTGGGCATCCTGTGGGGACTTAGCCAGGAAGTCAGCCTGGATGCCTGCATTGCTCAAACTTATTTCATCCATGGTCTGTCCCTCACAGAGTCTGGAGTCCTTCTCGCCATGGCTTTTGATCGCTTTACAGCAATCTGTAATCCTCTGAGGTATACGTCCATCCTAACCAGTGCCCGGATTACCAACATTGGGCTGGGAATTTTAGTTAGGAGTTTTGTGTTCATTATGGCTCCCATAATCCGCCTAAAGTTCTTCCACTATTGCCATTCCCACATCCTCTCTCACTCTTTTTGCCTTCACCAAGACTTACTAAGACTAGCATGTTCTGACATTCGCTTTAACAGTTTCTATGCCTTGGCTCTGGTGATTTGTACACTTTTGTTTGATTCCATGCTAATTATTGTATCCTACATTCTGATCCTGCATTCGGTCTTGGCCATTGCATCCCGGGAGGAGCGGCAGAAGTCCTTGCAGACCTGTGTCTCCCATATCTGTGCTGTCATGGTTTTCTATATCCCAATAATTGGTCTGACTATGGTGCATCGTTTTGGGACACACCTCTCTCCTATGGTCCATGTCCTCATGGGCAACATCTATATCATCTTCCCACCCTTGATGAACCCCATCATCTACAGTGTCAAAACCCAACAAATCCGTGGCAGGATTCAGAAGTGGTTTTCCATGAAAAAGAAGTAAAACGCTTTAGCTTACATAGACACAGGGGCTTACCTGTAGAAAACTTCAGGCAGGGAGAGGGAAGGAATATATTCAGTTAAAGACGTTAAAAATAAGGCGACTGAAAATGAAGACTTACAGGATATGCCATTACATGAAAGATTTCTAAGTATCAAAAATAATAATCAAACCCAAGTTTGAAGTTCTGATAGTAGAGTCATTCATAACATGGCATTATCACTTCTGACTAGAAAAAAATAATATTCACAATTGCCCAGAGAAGTTTAACTTACAAGGAATATCTATAAAGAAATCATCCAAACACATAGTAAGTACCCATTTATCACCGGAGGCACAATTTTGTCACCACTTGGTATGGTTGCCTTAATCAATATCGACATTACAACTCATTGCTAATCTTAAGTGATGTTTTCAGACTGGTCAGCAGTTTGAGACTCAAGCATCATCACCCTTCTCTTCTCGTTAATTTGTCAACAGACAATTCTGGTTTTTTTTTTTTTTTTACATACCTCAAAATGCATACTAAATTGACAATCTTAATTTGAGTCTCACAGAAATTGATGTCCTTTACCGTGTAGAATAAATGTTTCACTAATATGCTTTACAGAATCTTTTTTTTTTCCTTTCTGGATTTGATAAATATCAACAAGGCAAGACTTTTCTTCTGTAGTGGCGTTTCTCACTGATGGCAAAACCACGTTTACCTAATAATTAACGTGAGGTCAGATAACTAGCCATTTGGGAAAGTAATAAAGCCTAGTCTGTGCTAAAAACCATGTTGAATTGCCATTCATGAGCATCTTCAAGAGAAAAGATACTGTTACCTTTTTTCATCTCTAGCAGCAACTCATCTTCATTCTCATCCTCTTTACCAAATTAGGAAAAATACTCATGCATATGCTATCAGATAGTGCTATTAGGCAGAGCTGATCTTTATTGCTTTGTGGAACTCTGTCCATAAGCTTCTGAGAGCAAACTTGTGAAGCATTTCATCCTTAAAGGATTGCTCCAAATACTCTAACCCATAGTCTTTTTTCCTCTTCTGTTATTGGAGAACTGAATCATTAAATCCATGATTCAATCTTCATAGCATGCATTTATGAAGAGACATTTATCTTTTGGCGTACAACTAAAATGTATTAAGACACATGGATATATATACATATATATGATCATCTGACTGATAGCAAGTATGTAAATGTATAAATTCATAGCTCTTAAATGTTAATCTTTTAGAAAAATGTATAAAATAGAGATAGAAGAATGGATGAAGAACTCTAACTAGGGAAAATGTGTTTTCCTTATTAGATTCCTTTGGAGTCCTTATTTATATTTTGAAAACAAGATTTGAGCAATTCATTAATTTTGTGGTAAAAATAACTTCCAATCTTCAAAAGTAATATGGCATTGGTTTTACAAAATCATAGTGGCCCTTTTTCCTGCTTTGCATTAAAATGCATCTAAATGTGTATCACATGTAAGAGTTCACAAAAAATTGAAACTAAGGAAAAATAGTCAAATGATTGAAAACTTGGAAGTAATTTCCATAATGTAAATGAAGCTATACTGTAAATGAATCTGGTTTAAATCATACAATTGATTATTCATGCCTCTTTACTCTATGAACCAAAGAATCAACAATCCGTATCTAATTAAGAAGTAATTTATTCCACTCAACTTGTACTCAAAGAGATGGAGTTTAAAACAGCAATTTTGTAAAAACAAACAAACAGATTTTTCATAGATTTTCTTTGTTGTAATTTTTTTTAAGGTAGGGAAAAGTCAAGATTTTTCTCTATAGGATGGTAATTTAATGTTATTTCTTTATTAATCCATGAAATGAATTAAGAAATGAATTAAAATATTCATATGAGATGGAAGAAGGTAATGTTCTTATTGAATTCAAATTTACTCTAAATGTGATACCCAATAATTTTTTCTAAAAATTTGTTAAAATTACAAGCCTTCAGGGCACCTGGGTGGCTCAGCAGGTTGAGTGTCGACTCTTGGTTTCAGCTCAGGTCATGATCTCAGTGTCCTGGGATCAGCCAGCATTGCTTGGGTCCTGTGCTAAGCATGGAGTCCGCTTGTCCCTTTCCCTCTGCTCCTCCCCTCATCCCCCACTATAAACGTTCTCTCTCTCTCTAAAATAAATAAATCGCTCAAAAAATTATAAGCTCTCAGCAATTAGCACATTCTAAAAATAAGTGTCATATTTGCATTCAAAAATACCATTAGAAAGCATAATTGAATGACAAATCCTAGTCACATATACAGAACCTGAAGATATAATGTACATAAACACACGTAGAAATCATTCACACCCTTAGGGGCACCTGGGTGACTCAGTGGATTAAGTGACTCTTAATTTTGGCTCAAGTCAGGATCTCATAGTCTTGAGATTAACCCCCCTGCTTAAGATTCTCTGTCTCTCTCTCCCCCTCCTCCATTGATGCTTGCTCTCTCTCTGTCTCTCTCTAAAAAAAAAAGAAAGAAAGAAGAAAGAAAGAAAGAAAGAAAGAGAAAGAAAGAAAAAAGAAAGAAAGAAAGAAAGAAAGAAAGAAAGAAAGAAAGAAAGAAAGAAAGAAAGAAAGAAAGAAAGAAAAAGAAATCATTAACACTCTGTTAGAGGGTGTAATGGCATACACCGGTAATAGAAATATATTCTTTACTCTGTGTAGCTGTATCTGTTCTCCTAAAACATTCCCATAGTTTCACTGTGACTAAACAAATAACAATATTCTTAACTTTATAAAATTTTTATAGTTTCTTAGGAAATATTAAAAATCAGAGAACTAAAAGAATTTAAAAACTAAATTTCAAGGGGTTCCTGGGTGGCTCAGTTGGTTAAGTGTGCAACTCTTGATTTCAGCTCAGGTTGTGGTCTCAAGTCATGACTTCACACCCACGCATCTCAAAATAACAGAATATTAAGTACAGAAGTAACACTAGATACATAGAAAAATTAAGGAATAAATTTAATGAATTTTAGTGCCATTTAATTTTTTAAAGAAAATATGGATTATGTAATAGTCATGTAGCAAACTCAAAGATAAATCTATACCTAATTTCTTTTTATTTCAAGTTTTTATTTAAATTCCAGTTAGCTAAAATACTGTGCAACATGAGTTTCAGGTGTAGAATTTAGTAATTTGTCACTCACATACAGCACTTCATGCTCACCACACCATACCCATTGCCTGTTTAATCTATCTCTCTGCCCTATACCTAATTTCTTAACCCAAATATAAGTATTACTATGCTACAAACTCATTTGTACTTATACCAATATCATACACATAAAAATGAAACTGTAAAATTAAGGAAAATCTGTTCTTTTAAAAGAGATCTTTTGAATAAGCTACAGCTTCCAGATAAGGACAGGAAATGAGAGTCCATAAAATGAAAATCAATGCTTTGACACAGACACACATACATATATAAGGATACATAAAAACAGTAAGAAATATCAAACTATTGACAATTCAACACATGCCAAAATTAGTTTACTCATGCAAAACATACTTACAAATCAATATGACAAAAGACAGCATAAACCTATAAAAACAAGATATAGAATTTAAGTTGTAAAAAAAAAATTCCGTTGTCAATACTTTGATATGGTCAATAAATATTAAAATATATTCAATCTCATTTAAAATTAAATAACCACAAAATTTAAAAGAATAGGTCAAATACAACTCCATATTTGGTATACAATCGGCAAATAAAACATGGTTATCAGAATCTGAGGTTGTTCAGAGACTTGCATTTGCTTTTAATATGGATATAAGTTAGCAAAAGATTTTTGGAGATAAGTCACACATGAATACTGAAATCTCTTATTTAGATTAGATGGAAAGTTATTAATATGTATACTGTTCTGTAACGTGTACTTTTGAGGGTCTAATATTTATTAATTTTATAACAATACAATTGTCAAACTACTCTTTGTTTAAAAGTTGTGTATTAAATATTTTCCAAAATGTCGACAAAATGTTTGAATTAAATAAATGCTAAAGTTCATTTTTTAATTGAATCTGGTGTGTATTTCCATGATGACAAAATGGAAGAACAAAAAGAAAACATAATAAGGCTTTAGAATATTACAGAAACACTTCTAAACATCAACAAATCTTGGATTAATGAATTTAAGATTGATCATTCTCCACAGGATATTTTGTTTCTTTTTGTAATTTAAACTCAATTAGCCAACATAGAGCGCATCTTTAGTGTCAGATGTAGTTTTCAGTAATTCATCAGTTGCGTATAACACTCAGTGCTCATCACATCACCTGCCACAGGATTTCTTAAGAAAGTGAGTTTATATTTAAGTTGAAGAAATGATTTGTGGAGAGATGACTATGCTTTTCTCTCTCAGCTCTAAAATATCAAACACTAATTGTGGAAAACAAACACTGAGGAAAGGAATAGCTTTAAAAATTGAGACAAGACTTTCTGTCATGGTTAACACCACAAAGTATTTAGATATGATTAGCTCATATGGCTTTTGAGGCAAATTTTAATGCCTGTTTTCATTAGCTAACGTTATATTTCCATGTGAGGTATATGGAGCAAGCTGGTTATGGTTTAGATTACTTTCAAGAAAAATACTAGCGCCTAGTAGCTGGCAACACAACCTGGTAGAGTTACATGGTAACTTAGGTGACACCAAACTCAGATTTAATTATAATCAAGATCAATATCTTTCAGTTAGAGTGATAATTGTCACAGAACATCTTAATTCCTGTCAATCTCTAGAGCCATGTATTATTTATTCAAAATGGTGTTAGTGCTATGGGCATAAAATTAGGTTATCACATTTTTTCAAAATAAATAAATGTATTTATTTATCTAATTAATATATTACAAAAAACAGATACTAAAATTAAATAGAAGTAGAAAAAGATTTGAGGGATGATCAAAGGTAGAGATGAAGAGGACAAAGAAAAACCAAAACAAAACATATCAATGATTCTCACCCTATGGGCTTCTGTTGC